CCTCCGCCTCCCCCGTGCCTCCTCTCCCAGCTGCCTCCGCCTCCCACCCCCCAGCTGCCGCTCACGGGTCGGGCCCGGCGGTTCTCCCAGCTGCCGCCGGTCTTGCGGGTCTGCTGCCTCCTCTCCCAGCTGCCCCCGACCCGCTTCCTCTCCAGGCTGCCTCCTCCTCCCCTCTCGCCTCCTCCACCACCTCCTCCTCGCTCCACGTTCTGGTTCTTGTCGTGGCTGCTCCTGGACAGCGAGGGCCTCCAGTCGACCCCGCAGATGGTGTGTCGCCGCTCCATGGTGCCCCCCGCTGGTCGCGGGTCGGCGTTGCAGCTCATGGTTTGACGCCGGCCGTCGACGCCCGTCGGCTTCTTCCTGTCCAGGCTGTCGTCCCCGGCAACCACCGTGTCCACGTTCAAACCTGTGGGATGATTTGTCAAGACTTAGATTGGACAGAAATGTTTAAAGAGTTTTAAGGGTTTCGTCTTCAACGTTTCTAATAAAACCGAGTACGAGAGCAGAAGGTTAGCGGTACGAGTCCACAGGATCCGACAGGTCAACACATTTTCAACATTTATTATCGACACAAGCAGCCGCGCAGCATTCTGGTGGCGCTGAGTCGGGTTTTGACGAGACGACGCCGGTGTCTTTCTTCTTGTGGCGGAACCTTGGAGGCCTCAGACTTCTGAGGTGAAGAACATCCTTCCTCCAGCGTTCGACTCTGCAGCTAAACTGTACCGTGATTTGTCTGTGAAGATCCTCAGTCCTCCAGGTCGTGGTTGTTCTCGTAGTTTGATCGTAACAACTGGACCTGCTTGAGTTCCTTGAAGACGTTTCATCCAAGAGGCTTCATCAGGTCTGACTGACTAGTTCTTAAGATCTCTCCCCAGGAAGATGAACCCACATCCACACCTAGCCACATCCTCACCTGTCTTGAGGACCAGCAGGTGCAGCGCGTCGTCCCTCAGGTAGGAGGCGGCGGCGATCTCGTGCGTCGGGATCCTCATCAGCAGCTTCTCGTTGTCCCTCCAGGTGAGCAGCAGGCAGCGGGCCGACAGACTCAGGATGCAGTCCTGGTCCACGCTGGTCTTCAGCGGCAGCACCTTCAGCTGCTACTGACCGACACACGGACACACGGCATTATTGATTATTGATTATGAACATTGACATTGATCCCATA